TTAGATCTACTTTCTAAGGTTGGTAGGAGGATTGATGAATGAACATATGTAAAGTATTTGGAACAGTGCCTGGTACTTAGTGAAAACCATAGAATGGTTTATTAAATATATAAAAGGAAGACAGAACTATGAATCAAAGCCAGGTTGATTGGTATCTAATGCAGACATTCTTACCTTGGACTCTTCAACATGTCAATCTCTCCAGTGTTTAAAGTATTACTATATCTTTGAAGATTTTCTTTTGTCCACATCCCTCCCTTTCAGCGATGGTCTTTAATATTACCAGGATTACAGAATGTTGCCTGTCATTCAGGCTTTTGTTTTGACTTAGTGAAACATAAAATACCCACAATATTTCAGTAGATTATAGTAAAGTGATTACCTCCATACCTTTAAGTAAGATTGTTCTTCTAATGCAGCAGTTTCTAAAGCAAGTTTCCAGGAGCATCCGCACTGCTTGGAATATAAATTCTCCCCCTCCACTTCAAGTTTACTGAATCAGAAACCCTAGGGATGTGGCCCGGAAACCTGTATTTTAACAAGCTCTCGAGGTAATTATGATGCAGCTCAATTTTCAGGATCATTGCTTTCATGGAACTCAAAACTACAGAAGTGATTGAGGTGCTCACATTGTTTATCAAATTCAGTTGGTGATTAGCAGTCTTAGAATTTGGGCATCCAATACGTATCAGTTGCAATGTTGTGGTTTCAGATCGTCCATCAGGTATTTTTGATTTGGAACCACTGTTCTGCTCTCCATAGGTGGGCATTTGGCTCTTCCATCCAGCTTTATGACTCCTGATCATTTGACAACAACCACTGTTCATTTCCTAATGTCTTGTTTTGAAATTGTCTTATTTTGTTTCTGTGTTGTTTTGTTTCTGCTTTTGTTATTTTTTTACTATTGCTTTTTCTCTTTAAAATTTTTTTTTATAAAAAAGGTCATGCAGGTTTTCCTGGTATCTCTCACAATGTCCACAGCAGGGCTGAGGCAGAAAGCTGCTGGGTTTTGGCAGATCTCTACTTCTAGCTTGTTGTGAATTCACAAAAATATCCCATATGGTTGCTCAACTTGTGGAATTTCCTATTATCAGGCTACATGTCTCCACCTTGTATAAGATGACACCATGAAAAGCTTGTTCTGCTTTAAAAATAAAAACTGAAAAATGGATATTTTTAGAAGTCAAGAAGCTATGCTGTCCTTGATTTCCTCCTAAGGTTCTCTTTGTCCTTTCCCTTCTCCTATCTTACGCCTCCTGCCCTAGTCAGGGGAAAAGGCCTGAAAGCTAGGCAGATTCTCAGAACTTCAGGCCAAAGGCACAATTCTAAGATCGATTCCTTTTCTTTTCCAGGTTTTCCTACTCTTCATATTCCTAGACTGTAGGCAATTAAAAAAAAAATTCTACACAACTGGAAATTCAAATAAGTTAATAAGCAACTTTCATCCAGGTCATATCAGCTGGTTAGCTGGGTTACCCATATTTATATTCCATTCTGTTCACCAAGGTTCAGACTTTGCCTGCCAGGTTATATTGCTAATCTTGTGACTGTACATGGCAAAGCACATAAAGATGTTGAGAAGATCTGTGAGTTCCTCTTAATTTACCTTTCATTTCAGAGAAGAGTAAACTCAATTACTGATGAAAAAAATCACATGTCCCATCCATCTGAATGGAATCATCTTGAAACATGTATGGGGATCTAGTACTTGGTCCTTTCTGTAAGAACCTCCTAAGTGTACAGACACGTCAGGTAACAATTTATTTCATCCTGGAGACTACTGGTCCCTAAAAAGGAATGCCAGCTCTGCAAGGGGCTTTAACACAAAGCCAATTGTCTCCTCCTACTCTCTCTGCCAGTCTTGGCAAAGTCAAATCCTGAACTTGTTGAAGAAGGTGATTCATTTCTGAATGGAAAGAATGCCAAAACCATCTGTACAAAAGATTTCTTTCTTCACATTCTTAATTTCTGAGGACCTTATAGTCACTTAGTGTAATGCGAGTAATTAGGAGCTTCCAAATTTGACAGACAGTTGGTTAATAATGGAAGAGAACATTTCTCTGGCCTTCTCACTGGCAGATTTCAAAGGAATCCAATAAACTGACTGACAGAAGACCTAATTCTTGGTGAAATAAGACACACAGGCTCTGGATACCTTCAGACAGCAGTTTTGTACTGGCGATCCCACTTTTCTAATTTTTCTTTCTTGCTTGGTAGACCCAGCAGGAGCTTGTTTGTGATTCTCCATCTGCCTTATCCTTTCACATACAACCCATTTCCTTCCCACTCTTCATGTCAAGGGGCTAACCAAAACTTTCTTAGAGAAAGAGTACTGTAACTAAGGCTAGACTGTGATGTCAAAATTATAAATATCAGAAATAAATACAACTTAAGCACTTTGAAAGGTGACAGATAATAGTTCAGTTTTATTTTGAGAATCTAGCATATTCTTAAATGAGTTCCAACTACTTTGACATTTCAGTTTTAAAAGTACTATTAATGATGCATTTATACATAGTCTCAGGACTCAATAGGCGAAAAGAAACAAAAAGTTCACTGTATGCTTTGCTTTACATGATATTACACTAAATCTTACAATCAGGAATCACTTTTATGTAGATTTCTTTATTACAAGATTTAGTATTAGGAAAAAAAAATAGTGCATGCCTAGTACCTCTCCCAAGAGCATAAAACACAACAGCAAAGGCAACAAAAAGGGACAGTGACAAAAATTTAATCATCCTTAGATATGGGCACAGGGTAAGAAAACACAGGACACTCAGTCTGTCACTCTTTTACTTTTCATCCATACTGAATATTACCAATCAATCACAGAACTCTTCATGACTAATCCCAGAGAGCTGATCTATTATACTTCTCAAATATATCAACCTTAACAATTACTACAACTTACTGGACTTGGCACAAAACTACTTAACATCCTAGGTTTTGTGATAGGCCTACCAGAATTTGTAGGATTAATGGCTGTTATTTTGGTTCAGGGTTTTTATGCAAAGTAAAACAAAGAAAAACAAAACAAAATAATAAGCTATAGTAATTCAAATACAGGACGCTTCTAGAAAGAAACCCATAATCCAAAAATGAACTCTAATCTTTCTTGATGGATTAGAAAACATCTGCAGACCATGCATTGTGTGTGTATATAACTTTGGTTTTTTTTGGGGGGGGCGGTTCTGGGAATCAAACTCAGGACCTTGTGTTTGTTAGGCAGGTGCTTGTGCCACTGAGCTATATCTCCAGCCCCATCTTTAGACCTATAAGTATAGGGGAAAGATGACATCTCTAACATTTATAGACCAGTAGAGCTACTCAACTGTGTGGACTTACAACAGATGGGTAATGTTGAAATGTCTGTTTTTCTTACTACTTTGAAAAGTATATATGAAATCCGCTCACTGTACTGAAGATAGAAGAGTGACTTAATACAATAAACTACACTTTTTAATTAAAGGAATACTACGTACATGATAAATCACAAAGGAAACCACCACAGTAATGTGTGGTTTTCTATAGTCAATGTTCTAAAAACAAAATGTTCTATTTGGCAGGGGCCTCAAAGTTGGTCATGTTCTCATTAGTCTTGAGGGCAACAGTCCTACTTTATACAACTGAAGGCATGATGCAACAAGAAGCCAGAGCCTGAAATATGAAATTAGAAAATTCATTTTCAAATAAACAAAAAATTGCTAAAAATATATTATAAAAAAATACAAGTAGCTTCAATTCAATATTACTCAAGTTAATTTTTTTATTTTTTAAAATAAAAAATGTGGTTTATGAGCAGGATTAAGCATAATATTGAGGAATGGTAATTAATTTCATCTAGAAATAAATAAATGTAATTTATTACAAGTGCTATCATTTGTATCACCAATATTCTTTCTCATACTGATTCTGAAATTATACATGATATGTTAGAATTTCATATTCCATATATTGAAACAATATATCATTTGCATGTGTATAAAAAGCTCAAAGTGCCATGAACTATCAGAAAGGTGGCACTAAATGATTAGTTTTGAAACAAAAAAAGTTTCTTAAGATTGAATAAAACCACACACTTTAACACTTATATTTGATGGTTAACACTAGCTACCTCATATTTTATACCACATAAAGTATTTCAAACTTCCACCTCAAACACAGCACTCTAAAAGATTACAGACAGCATCAATTTTTAAAAAAATTTTAATAAAGTAAATAGTCTATAAGCAGACATACTGATTTTAGAAAAAATAACAAAGAAAGCATATTCATGGTTCCTTCAAAGTATATTTTAAATCATATTTGATATAATGCCGCTTTAAATAACCCCCTCCCATCTTTCTGAGGATCCACCTGAGTTAACGATCTGTTCATGAGCATCTAAGATGAGAGGGCAGGCCAGTAAGGGCCTGACAGATGCTGACAGAACCATGGAGAAGTTACAAGGAGCGAGGCTGGCCAGCTGCACCCTCCTGGGGCAAAGGCACTTTCAAAGGCAACTCAGTGTCTGGCACAGATCCTGCCTGCAGGATTGAAAGACTTCTCTGGAACGGTATCTCAGCCTGGCATTAGCACCCTCCTGCACAAAGCATCTTGGTTTCACCCCGTGGACTAGCTCTTTCCCACACGTGGTGAAACCTGACTCTCCTGGGTGCCAGGCTCCCCTGGCCTTCCCTAAGATCACAGCTTGCTGAGTGACTTCCTTTTTTTCCTTCCACAGGGGCTCATAACTTCAGAAGTGCTGCTGTTAGAGACTTTCAAAAGGACAGGACAGGTATGAAGGTTCCTTTACCTAAATTTCTTTTGTGCTCATTTAGGCTTATGAATTTTGAGTAGGACATCTGAAACTTTTAAAACAATAAATTTAATTTTATTATATTATCAAACACTGCGAAGTTAGCCAGGTGTGGTGGTGCAGACCTGCAAGGCCAGCACTGGGCAGGCTGAGGCAGGGAGGACTGCTGTGAGTTCAAGGCCAGCCTGGGCTACACAGTGAGTTCGAGGCCAGCCTGAACACATAGCAAGACCTTGTCTCAAAAAAACAAATACAAACTGCAAAGTTGAGTGTTAAAGAAGTGTAAATAACTAAGCTTTTAAATAATTCTTTCTAGTTTGTACCATTTACACTTCTGAAGATAATATTTCCTGAAACATGGGGACTCCTTTTGGGCTCAGAATTATCTAAGGTAGTATACATCATTTAGCCTGTCTACAGTTGCTTCCTTCTTTAAGATGAATGTTTCTTCAAAGGTGTCTTTTTGGAATCTTGACATATTCTCTGATACAATCTTGTTCTCTGAAATTGAGTGAAAAATTAATATTTTTATTTTCATTGTTTTGCAATTGAGATAAAAAATTATATCCCAATTTTATCTTTTTTATTTGCTATTTAGTCATCTTCAGGAACTTTAATTGGAAAATATACAACCTCATTATCTCAGGTCAAGTGACTGTGCTTCACCAGATGCATGCATTTGAACACTGGCACAGACACATAAAGAGATATACTAGGTCTCTGTAATAGTAGTTTTCAAGCTACTTTTTTTAAAAAATTGTAACACCAGTCAAAACGTCATTTTGAAATCATGACTTGGGACATGTAAATGAGTGTGTATGTATGTGTATGTGTGTGCACATAGGCTCCCATCGTTTTAAAAGAGACAAATGTTTCAAAAACTTAACACACTCTAATTCTTTGCACCCTAGTTCTTTTTACTCAACACTTCTATTGCTTGTGATTTAGCATGTTGATTCAAGGCCTACTCGATGTCGAGAACAAAATTTGAAAAGTAATAAACTAAAGAGATCAGTTAACACACAACAAGTTTACCACAGTAACCACTTAACAGTGGATGCACTCTTTCTTTTCAGCTTAATCAGAAGTAAAGAAGTAATAGTAGAACACATCTGTTCTCAAACTCCTAGGTGCAATATGAATCTTGTTAAATGCAGATTCTGGTTCAGCAGGTGTGAGTTGGGGTCCTGAATTCTGCATTTCTATCAAGCTCCGGTAGGGGAGGATGCTGCTGGTCTGTGGATAGCACACACTAAGGAATGAAGGTACTGAATTCAGTCCAGGGAGATAGCAAGGAACAGAAATAACTACGCAGGACATGCCATCACCTTGCAACTAACACTGCTACAGCAAGAGGTCTGCCCCTTCAAGCAAGTCCACAGGACACATGCAGCACACAGAGCAGTAAAGAAAGTTCAGTAGACCTATGCTTCAGTGCATTGCGGTGACACCCGCACCTTCCGAATTCTCTCCTCCATGACTTTTACCCTAGTTTGTTTCTCCACGACCTACCCCTGCCAAAAACAGTTCAAGAAATGGCACCCTATTGTTGATAGCTTGGAAGCCACTTCACAGTAGATTGCCCACAAATGTAGACAAGTGGTATATTAGGCAAAGAAGGAACATGTTACATAAAGCCAGCCAAGCAGGATGCCAACAAACAAGAGTGTGAAATATTTATGAACATTTCATTTAAGGGACTTGTTAAACTGTGAAACTCGCCTGTCAGGGTGGATGGCACTCAGAAACTATGCTTCCTGTGACAGAAGGCAGTCTTCTGACTCAAAGCATGATTTTCATATTTCTGACCTATGTAGTTAGAATTCTCAGTCTAGAAAATGTTAGGACAGTAATTGCAATTGTTCATAGTACCATACTGGGTTTCTGTACTTTCAGCCTCCAGAATTTGGAGCATGCCATGTATTGATGAAGCAAAAATACACTTAGTTTTAAAGCTGTCTTTTATGTCACTATTTTATGTATGTAACTGGAGGGAAGGGGAATATGTTGCTCACCATTATCCTCAGGCATGTAAGTGGCACAACTGGCTACATAGTGCCAGATAAATGTTTGATCACAAAAGAATGAATTGATGAAGATAATTTTAATAATATGTTAAGTCTTAGCATATAATTTATTAGCTGATTTGCTGTGACAGTATTTGCTTTACTGAACTGAGTAGGGACTTTTTAAAAAGATGTAGAAATTAAAAGTGGCTTTTTCCAAATTGCATCTTTCCACAATGCGGATGAGGGTAGAGAAAAGACGGGAGAAGGTGGGTTAGGGGAAGGAGGGCCGGAGTGGGGAGAGAAATTTCTTGATTTCTATGTGGGCTTCCTCCCACTCCATGAGGATTAAGATCATAACAAGTGGCAATTATAACGGATGAGAGATTTGGGGGAGAAAGGGACTGATACTTGGAAATAAGGTTGAAGGCAGTGGCTTTTAGTGGGGATGACCTTGGCCATGTCTTAGATATTGCTGATCATCACAAATTGTTATGGTTTGTATCTAGATGTCCCCCCAAAGTCTCATGCAGTCATAAGGTAGGCTTCTAGAGTTTATGATTGATCCATGATCTAATGCTCGGGTTATGGGTGTGAGTGAAACACCTGCCCTAGGGTAGGTAGCTTGCATACAATATAAGGGAGGGAAAGAGGCTTGCTCTTTCACCTGCCAATCCTCCCTTTTGCTCTTTCTGTTTTTGCTGTCTTTCGCAGCCATGAAGTGTTGCCCTCTGCCAAGTGCCACTCTGCCTTGGAGCCGGCAGAGTATGGACGAAAACCTCCATGAACTGTGAGCTAAATAAACCTTTCCTTCCTTAATTTTAGGAGTCAGGTATTTTGTCTCAGCGAGAGAAAAGTAACCAAGACACAAATGAAGCTGGATCAGTGCTAACAGTATCCAGACGAGTAAAGTCCAAGGGTGCTGCTAAACTTCCTACAAATGTACAGAGAAGTCTACATAACAAAAACTATCTGTTCCATGTTAACAGTGCGAGAGTTGACAAATCTTGCTCCAAGAGAGTAATAGGGCATGACAGAGGCAAAGAAGAGAAGCTGTCAGGAGACCAAAAACTACTTGGCTGCTATCATGAAGAGTACGATTTTAAGAGATGGGGAGAGACATAGTGGGGCTAAATAAGGCTGTGGGAGACCCTATTTCAATGGCTTCCTCCTGAGTAGATCTTCAACCAAGTTCTGCTTCAATCAAGTGGAGCTATCAGCTCCACTGTTCCGGGTAAAGGCAATTTCTATCTTGTGAGTACCCAACAAAACCCACAGGACACCAGCAATCTGTGTGTGGACATGGGACTTTTAGGCTGCCTGGCATGGTAATGCCAATGAAAAAAGGCTGAAGTAGAGGAAATGTTGCTGGTTCCCTGACCATGTCACTGCCTACTGCCTTGTCTTCTGACTGCCAAGAGCTGCCTTCTTTCCCCCGGAGGCTTTGCTCTTGTTTGTCAAGTCATAGTCCCCAAATGCCAGGGAATCAGTTGCCTCTAGAGGCAATCTTCCCCGTCCCTGACAGGTTTTGGTAAATACACACCACTCCCTTGTCACTCATAGGACAACCACTAACCACGTGTCCTAAGCTGTCTTCCAGAGTTTCCAGTGTAACTGGGCTCCAGGTCCCCAATGAGAACTGGTTTGATCATGCCTGCACTGTTGGCTGTAATCCCTTCTCTGGCTCACCTTCCAACTCTCCTATTGGTGTTTTCTTTACCTCCTCCTAAAAATAACTTGCACTTGAAGTTTCACTGCAGGTCTTGGTTCTGGAGCATCTAGACTGACAGGCAAGTCTTTTAGAAGGATATTGGGCTGGCAGCACTTGCTTCACAGATGCCTCTTCAATAGGAAAAGATCCACAGTACCATTCCTTCAGGAGGGCCCCAGGATTGCTATAAACTCACTGAGTTTTCCATCTGGATGTCTTGTACATAGGATGTCCTCTGAGCCCCAGGCTCTGGTTCTACTTCTTCCAGACATCAGAAATACAACTTCAGGCACATTCCATTCTCTTCCATTGAGAAAAGAAGCAAAAGCACACTTTTTGTTCCCTCCAGGATGGCAGAAATCAAGTGACTTGGGAATATAAGCATAATCCCTGATTAGTCACCAATGCCCCTACAGTCAAATTTGTACAAGAACTCTAATAAGTAACAATACTTGACTCAAAGTGAATCTTATTATAGAGTTGGGAAGAAGTAAACATGAAGAGCAATGCTTGCTATGGTTCAATTAAACTGTAGTGTGTGATATGTTGTAAAATGTTGAAAAAAAAAAAAAAATAAACTGTAGTGAATTACCAACAGGGATTTAAAACCACCACACAGCAAATACAAAATAATCATTTTAAACACTGCAAAACAATGAAAAGAAATGAATTATGACACTCCCTCAGGGTGATGTCTAATCACTCATCTTCCATTTAATGGGAATCTTGAGCCACTAAATAATTTTTTTTAAAAAAGACCACAAAAAAGCTTGGAGCTGTGAACACCGGTCACAATGGGTGTATCCAAGGGGCTCCTCACTTCACAAAAAGGAAATTGTAAAAGCCAAGTCACTTGACATTGGTCTCAGAATGCTGTCCAAGCAGAAACTTGAACTAATCTCTTAAGGAAGTCCTTGCTGTCATACAGCAAGTTAAAGAACTGGGCTACCACCCTTGGGATCCATTCAACAGTAAGCCACCCATAAGGAGGCCTCCTCATAAACCACCGTTTCTGGATTTTGGTGGGTTTTCTCTTTATGAAGAACATCCACTTTGGGTCATGAAATCTTGCCTAGTGAGGAGAAGAGAAGATCTTCTATCTTAGTTCTGATATGAGCGGATTTTTTTTCTAAGAGAAAAGAACAGCTGAGCTTTTCTGCAGGACAACCTATTCCCTTATTTATAATGCAGGACAGGAGGGCCTTGTAAGTGTATATTCTGGTTCATCTGAGGACACTTGGTTGTTCATTTTAAAATTAGATTCATCCTAATTATACGACAACAGCCTACACGTGGCTGGCCAAAACATCAGGAAAGGATTACTCAGCACCTACCTGCTAGCTTTGCCTGCTGGACAGTGCTGAACTTCTTTAACATAGTCCCTGCCCTCTTGGCACTTAAAATCTAGTAGAACAAAAAATATCATTGATAAATGTGAACCTTAGACACTGAATAGTGAAATAAAAACCCAAATATATGTATGATATAACTTTATATGTATTATATGACATATATGTTTATATGTATATATACATATTATATGACATATATATGACTTAACATGAAATATTACCAAAAGAGTGAAGGATATTGTCACTGAAATGGCATGTGTCAGCAGGTCACAATCAGAATTTCTATCTTGATTCTAATTAATCAGGGCAAGATTTTTATAACTCTTAAAATTGTGTTCTGTTGTATCTTGCTTTGCTTTGTTTTTGGTGTTGGGGATTCAACCCCAGAGCCCTGCATATTGCACATGCTAAGTGCTTTACCAGCGAGCTTCACCCTAGCCTTATTATGTCATTTTATATAAAGGACTTGCATATGTAGATTTTGGTATTCACAGGAGGTTCTGGAATCGCTTTCCCCCCAAACCAGGGGTACTAGGGAACAATTGTATTTGCACTCATTTGTCACAGTATATTATTCTGTTAAAAAAACTAACACTCTTTATTGTAGGAGTTATTTCAACACCCAAATGGTTCTGAGACTAAAATTCTAAATTCTAGGGGACTTTCTTCTCTCATGCTCTAGCAGTCCTGAAATTTGCATATCAATATTTTTCCCATTGCACAGATGCAGTGACTTAAGTGTGAGGAAGTTAAATAACTTGCAAGGCAGACCATAGGTAGGAGGCAAAGTCAAGCATTCAACTCAATCTGCCTTTCTATGTCTGTATGGATGTCCACCTTCCTTATACATACTCTGCACCCTGGCCCCTCTCTCTCCGGTGTCCTGAGCAGCAACCAATCCCAAACCCATGCCCTCCCTCTCCCCTAGCTTCCTCCCTCCCACAATACACCAGGCCTCTAAGGGAACAAGGTATTTCTCCTCCATGCCCTGTGAAAAGACATTAAAATAGGACATCATTGGAGGCTGTACTGTGGAAACCCTGAGACTCAAAAACTCCAATTATGAACCAGAAACAAATTGTGCATTGAGAGCATTATTTCTCCCCTAATTTGGAATATCAAGAATTAGCTGGATCTATACTTAATATTACAAATTTAAATTTTCAAAAATATTCAAAATATTTGAGCTTTAATATAAAGACATGCTATTATATATCCTCAGCATACTTATCAATATTTAATAATCCAAGATAAATGTGCCCTTTGTGTTTCTTTCCTTTTTTCTTTTGTATTTTTGTGGTCCTCAGGGTTGAATCCAGGGTTTTGTCCATGCTGTATAAGTGCTCTACCACTGAACATTATCCCCAGCCCTTTTTACTTCTTAGAATAAGGAATTTTGATAAAAATTAGGTGATATAGTTTTCAGGAAGGTAAGATATGTGTAGTTAGGAGAAAAGGGCTTCTTTTTCTTATCATTTACCTTATGTTTATTATTCATGTCTCTCTTATATTTTCTTTATGGGAGGCATTTCTATAGCCTGGCTAGAAAACAAGCAAACATCTTTTCTCACTAAAACAGAAATGCCTCATTTGAGTAAGCAATTGTAGCATAAATACTATAATAAATTCTAGGAAAACATATTTTTTTAGTCAATATCTTGTGATGAATCATTTAGACACTCTAAAGTTCTTAAAAATTATTCCAGGTAAACGGCTTCAACACTTCTGTCAACATACCAAAAGTCAGCTCTGGTCTCTGCTCCCTAACACCTTATTAATTAATATGCTTTTTTTTAAAAGGGAACTAAAATGTAAAATGTCTTAATAGTTTATATTGATTACATATTAATAGTATTTGAATATACTTGGTAAGGTATAGCATTGAAATTGAATTCACTTGTTGCTTTTAATCTCTTTACAGGTAAATTTCAGGACTCTTTTTAGAGGATGTGTGGGTCACATTATATTTTCATGGGACAGTGCTGAGATATGAGGGATAGCAAATTACAGTGCACCACTTGTTTTTGTAAATAAAGTTTGACTGGTACACTGCCATTTCTATTCATTTACCTTTTGTTTATGGCTGCTTTCTCACCACAATGGCAGACCTGAGGTTTCAACAGAGATCTTATATCTTAAAAAGTTGGAAATATTTACTATATGGGCTGCTTCAGAAAATGTCCACTCCTGGGTTAAAAATAACTGAGGTTATCTAACGTATCTAAAATTATCACTTTATGACCAAGGAAATTAAAGCTCAGACAGACCAAGAGATTTGTTTGAAATATGTTTATTCTCAGTTAGGTGGTATTTCCACAATGCCATCCATCCATCCATCCATCCATCCATCCATCCATCCATCCATTCATCCACCCATTCATTCATTCATTCATTCATTCATATTCTCCATCCATCTCTAATCTTGCTCATTAAAGAAATAAAATCCCAATTAGTAAGAAAAATCAACGTTCAATGCTAAATAGTGGATTTCAACACAACCACATTAATGTAATTTCAACACAGCCATGTAATACTGATTTTGTCAGACATGAATATTGTAGTTGTGCACATATAATAGCAAAGAAACACAAAGAGTCTGAGTAGGCTGAGAGATGGTCTTTAGGCTACATCTGAAAATATTTTTAAGGGAATACATCATGTAATCTGTTTTAAAATTAAATTTGAAATGCCCCCAAATATTGTACCAGTCTGCTAAAAATACTCATTATTGGAATTAAATTAGAGAAAAAAGCCACATGTTGGAGAAAGTGAAGTGTGTTCTCAAAGACATGACATGTGACTACTTCAGCTCCAGCAGCCATCCATTACTCTGGGTCTCTACCCAGGCTCTTTACCTCCAGACTTTCATTCAAGACCTATCCCAGAGACTTATTTTAAAACAAAAATGGGATTTGTTAGAAAAACTCTTCATTGTCGATTAATTATTTGATCAATCTTGCATGTCTCTGTTTACCTGAGAAACCACTTTGAAGATATCAATATGTAATACAACAACCATTGTTAATTTCCTACCACTTTGTCTGTAACTCTGTATTGCATGTATTGTTCTTATGCTGTTTTGTAAATGGATGTCTGTTAATATGTTTTCCTTCTTTTATTCTTAAAATAAATTTTAAAAAAAGAAGAGAAACTCTTCATTGTCTTTATGCTATCAAGTCTAGTTTATCTTCCTTATGTGCCCAGGAAAGACCTCATAATCTGGTGGTGACTTTTGCTCTGCGCCAACAGCCGTGTTTATTGTCCTTTACACATGGACGAGGCTCCTTGCAATTTTCCAAATGTTTTGCATGTTGATATTCACTTCCTAAGTTTGCATTTTGTGTTCTTTCTGCCTAGAACCTTCTTTACCCCTAACTATGTGCTTCTACTGTACACAGTACTTACCACATCACAGAAGCTATCAATATTGTAACTGTCAGTTAAGTATTAATACCAACACCACTATGCACAGCTAGTATTTAGGAACACTTAACTGCGGATCAAGCATTATTATTTCATTTAATCTTCACATCTGTAGTAAAAAAAAACCAAAAAACTGAACCATACAATGAAGCCAAGTGAAGGTACAATACAGACCATATATTTCTACTACATGATCCTGGTTCTTAACCTCTATCCTACTGGTTCAAGGTGGGGGTAGTTTTGCCTTGAAGCAAACAATCTCTGGAGACATTTTTGATTGCTACAACTAGCACTACTGGCATCTAGTGGGTAGAAGTCAATGATGCTGCTAAACATATCACAGTATAAAGAACAGTCCTCCATGGCAAAGACCTATCGGGCCTAAAATGCCAATAATGCAGAGATACAGAGGAATTATCTGGCCCAGAATGCTAATAATGCAGTTCCTGCTGTTGAGAAACACTGCTGTACACTCTTTTAATCTCCTGTCCCAGGAGACTCTGAGATTCAATTTAGCAAGGATTTTTAAATGTTTGCCATCATATCTTGATACCTACTATAGTACCTTGGCACCTAACAGATTCCCAGGGCATTTATGATGGATGGATGGATGGATGGATGGAAGGATGGATAAATAGATAGATGGGATCTAGGAGAGATAACAATTATACTCAGGTTTGGCTTTTGTAGAAATTTCAACACAGAGAAACTGGAACAAATGTTATTAATTAACAGTAAAAGAATGTACACCGATCACACCTTTACCTTATGTTTATGAAACTACATAGTGTGTGGTCAAATTACCAAGTAAAATGTATAGGATTTCTTTTTCTACAATGCCACAAGAAGATAAGATGATTTGGAAATCCCTTATATATATGATACTACAGGATAACTTGATAGATTCATCCACCACATAGGTCATAACTTTTTTAAAAAAGATTTTCTGTGTAAAGTTCCCTTGGTTCCTTTTTTAAAAGAAAAATAATACAAGAGTATACACTCTTATGTTTTACCCTATTGTATATTTCATTCAGATATGAATACAACATTATTCTAGATCTCTAGATATTGGAAGTGTAGCAGAAGTTACAGTAAAGCTTAGGTGAAATTACAGACAGAAACACATACACAAAAATAAACTACCTTTGACTTATATAAATTAATAATCTAAATATTAGAAATAAAGTTAAAGGGGCTGAGGATATAACTCAGTGGCACAGCACCTGCCTGGTAAGCTCAAAGTCCTGAGTTTGATTCCCAGTACCAAAAAAGAAAAAAAAAGAAATAAAGTTAAAGAAAGATACAGGTTATGGTTACAGTATTGTTAAAGGAAAACACTTCAATGGCAATTGCTGTACAGAAACTGTTAGTTTTCTTTTTAATGGAAAAGCAAAAATATTCCACTGTGGGGCTAGCTACCATGCCTTCAATTTATCCCTTACTATAAGATGTGATAGAAAGTTAAATGATCTTGATTTTCTTCATGTAATACAGTTAATTGTTCCTCATATCCTCTTGCATCAAACTGAGCCACTTCAAGTTTCTCTCTCTGTCTTTCTGAAGATGCAGGATGGTGATCAAATAAGTTTTGCTACTGATGTTGCACCTCTTAGACAATCATAACATACATCAGTGTTAAAAAATGGAGACTGAAGGTTTTG